TCAAGTAATTAATACTATTAAATGTAAGCTTGTAAAATTGACGGAAGTTTTGGCATAGAAAAATAACACTAATATTGCATAAAGTTCCATCCCTTAAACAAAGAAGGCCAAAAACAGAGTGTATATGATAGACACTGAACTACATAACTTAGAATTCTCAAAATAATAACAATAATCCTCACCCTATGTTATGTACTGTCCTGTGCAAAAGGTCCAAATAACATCGGGTGAGGTAGCTCGAGAATAGGTCGGCTCGTGAGTTCCTCCGGAAACATCCATCTGCTTGTCCCGCGAACTGCTTGGTCTACAAACGTAAACGTAAACGAAAACGATGCGTGGCCTGGTCTGAGCTTACAGCGTACAATCGCCCGCCACATACTGGTTTCACGCTTACGTCGCCATGTAATTTCCGAAGTTTACAGTGCGGTCGGGAGATGACGTCACTACGATGATCGGAAAATGCTAATCATTCAGGTCTACTTCACCCTATGTTATCTGATGCCGACCGTTTTGGTGGATGGAATCTAATGCTGACCGTTCCTACCCGTACCTGTAATTTTTTTTTCAAAATTCTGAAAACTCAAACTAATAGGCGTTTATTCACCCTAGTCAAGCATATTATCAACCTCGAGTTCTTGCGCTTCATATGACCTTGGAATTGTTTGAAAGACAAGGCAAGCAAAACACGACAGCACAACAACAAGGTAAGGTAAACTTGTAGGTATCGAGCATAGTTTGTGAAAGACATTAACGCAAATTATCGAAAATTACCATGAGATCGTCGTCCTCGTTTTCCGACATTTTATAGTGCCATGTGACTTGGGGACGACGTGACTTTCATGATACTGCGTGAAGCGGACTTTGTGTGTTTCGTGAGTCCTGACGTGACATTATTTTACGGGTACGAACACTCTTTATTTCATCCTTAAGACTCGTTTTTTATTATTAATATACCCTCAGTCTGCATTTTACCCCTGGTCTGCAGTCTGCATTATACCCTCAGTCTGCATTTTACCCCCGGTCTTAAGTCCACAGTCTGCGTTTTACACTGACCGCTGGATAACATTCTCTGGCGGACAAGTCAATAACCAGTTTTTAAAAAGCACTGCTAGTAAAAAAAAATTGTAAAGGTTTTAGTATCCTGTGCTTGGCTAAGTAGATTGTGATCTATATTTGCTAGTGAGATGTTGTAATATAGCAATCTTTCCATTATCTGACCATACAGTAGTGCCGGTAGATAGTGACTCATCCACTGGATAAAGTTATCCAGCCTTTCATTACTTGAGCCAGATCTGCCACCCAAGACAAAAGCTGCCGATAAATGGATTAAAGTGTAACCAAGAATTTTTAATTTTTTTTAATTTATTGATTCATTATAGATTCCAACAATTAAGAGGCTCCTCTTCTGTAACAGTACTAATCTAATCTAAGTATAAATAGATATGTAGTAACTAATTAAAAGTACAATAACAATAATAAAATTAATCAATGTAACTTATCATGAGATATTAAAATATACAATACATATTATGTGGATTCATGACCGATATTTAGCAAACAAATGTTTCTTAGCACTACGGCAAAAAACACTATGTTCTAGAATGTTTCTTGTTGCTATCGGGAGTCTATTGAACAACGTTGCCGCCGAGTGCTGGAAAGTTCCTGATTCTCTAGGAGTAAAAAGTACGGATGCTGTTGATGATCTTAAATTATAAGCAGTTACTTCATGGAGAGTCAGTTTCAGATACAGTCCGACCTCTATTAAGCGGCCACCCTCGGGACTTTGAAACGTGGACGCTTAATAGAGGTTGGCCGCTCAATAGAGGTACAATTTTAATTGGATAGGAATGGCAGAAAACATGATTTTATTGACTCTATATAGCAAAAAAGTGAACATATATGAAGATAAATCCAAAATTCATTGTAACAAAACATCAAGTGCATTTCCAGCCCATGCATAGTTCTAGCTCTAAAACAGAGGGCACGTAGGGCTTATGGCCCTATGGCTTACAAAATTTCTCAAGAGGCCAACAAACAAAGGAAGAGCTGTTGTGAAAGGCAAACACATAAACAGAGGGGCCGGCTATGGTTTAGAAATTCCATGCGAGTACTGCTTCACAGG